CTGGTCCCAGTACGGACCCCTGAGGGATACCGCTTGTCACAGTTTTCCATCTGGACATGGAGCCATTGACCACTACTCTCTGGATATATTTGTGAAGCATGATTTTGCTGTAGAAAGGGCTGTGAGCACTTTCATGTCAAAAAATAATGACTTGTCTTACTGGCTCTCTGTTGTGTGTGTTTTTTTTGTTTTTTTGTTTTTTTTTGTGGTGGTTGTATTGCTCCTAGTATGATGCCAGACTTCCCAGGCTGCTGTTCACTGGATGTGATTTTGGAACCTCTTGAAAATTAGCATAATTTGCCATCTTGCCTCTGCTGCCTGAGACCATTTCAAGAGATGGGGTTATGTACCATCTTACGTAGTCAATAAATGAAGATACTGTATATTTGCTCTATATATTTAAAGTTAAAGATAGGTGTTCTAGATATTAGTGTGTGTCAGAATTTATAGGAAAAAGGATTATCTTTTGGCTGAAGAGCAGGAGTAGGAGCCAGGAAATCAAACTGTGTGGCAGCTTTCCTTTTCTGACTTTGGGTAAATGCTCAGAACGGTGCAAGATGACCAAGGCAGTAATACTGCTGTTTGGACTAGCAAAACTGGTGTAACTGTCTGCTCTTGTGGCTGCTTTTCTGTTAAGTTTAGCTGTAGTAAATGACGGAGAGAAGAATTAGGACAATTTGATTGATTTGTGCCTGTGTATGTCAGTTAATTACTCTTTGGTTGTGTGAGAGCAAAGGTCAAAGAAAAGGGATTGCGTGTGCTGTTTGCTTTTCCTGGTTCTGCTGAATGCGATTTTCTGGGAAGTCCTGAGATACCGTGGAGCAGTCAGACAGTGGTTAATAATGCTTTTCTGAGTAGCTCCTCAGTCTAAATGCAAAATGATGCCTGTAGGATTTGGTTATTGTTTGTATTGGGTCTGACCAGGCGGTGTGAGACTTCAGGACTGTCCTCACGGCTGCACACACATGACGGGGCCTCTGTCCTCTTAACAGTCAGGCCGTGGACCTGCTCTGGTGGGTGCGTACCTCCAGCCTTGCAGCTCACCTTCTTTAAACACGAAAATGTCAGATGGTTAATAGTGCCCCTGTCTTGCACCCTTCTGTGCAATGCTTTTAAGGTGTGACATGCTGGATTGTGACGTGGTTAGAAAACGTGGTTGCCGAATGAGGAAGGGGGTTGTGGCTTGTACTGAGTTTTGCTGCCCAATGCCTGCAGTAACCGAAAGCACGTGACTCTCTCTCCCCACTTGTATCAGTTTCCCACCTCATTAAGGTACAAGTACATGAGTTGGTGTTGTATTATTGCCCCCCTGCTATTTCTACACCGATTATCAGAAGCAATTGCAACGTAGGTGATTACAGAGGCAGTTCTTTTGGGGCCTTGTTGTCCCACTTGCAAGGGCTTCAGCCCTGTTTTGGCCATGTCTTTCTGAGCTGTCTGTCCAGTCTGCCAGTTCCTGTCAGCTCTGATTCCTTCCCATGCTCTGTCAGTCTCCCCTGCTGTAGGTATGGATGATGTGTGTTAATTCTGCACTAACAGTTTTCAGAGTTTTAAATTGCTGTTGCTGTGAGAATCATCTTGGTTGTTAGCTGTGTCAGCAAATCCTGCCGAGGGAACAGGAAGGGGCTGCAGGGGGGACGGTGGGACCTTTGAGTCCTAATACGTGGAGCTGATGGGGAAAGAGGCTCAGATGTCTCAAAAGAGCAGAGGCTTTCCTAGCTCCCTTCTCAGAGGAGGAGGGAAAGGCAAGGGTCTCAAATTAGTGAGTTAAAGAAGTGGCTTTTCATGATATGTATAGTTCTGAGGGATCTTTTGTTTCATCCAGTAAGGATTTGCATCTGTCAGGTTTTAAATACTGGTTGAATGCTTTTGAGCTTTTACCTTGACTCAGATTGCAGTTCTTTAATTCAAACCAAATCTCATTTTTATTTCTTTGCAGTAGTAGAAAATGAGATTCAGGCAAGAATAGACAATATCTTCAGCAGCTTGGAACGTCTGGAAATCCTGTCCAGCAAAGAACCTCCCAATAAGCGACAGAATGCTAAGCTGTAAGTTCACCTTCTTTGCTATAATAGTGTAGTGTAGTTTTTGTCATTATTTTCATTAAATTTATTGATGCCCTTTCCCCTTTGATTTGAATGAAACCTTTATACTTTGTATAACTTATCTCTGTGCTCTACAGTAGCAAAATTGAGGTACAGGGGCAAAAATCACTTCCCTGCATCACAGACTGGTGATGGAGCTGGATTCATGGCTCTGTTCTGAGATGAGCAGAACATGGCACTTGGAGTCTTAAAAAAATTTCTACTCTATATGGCATTTGCTTTTAATGGCATTTGTGGAGGTAAGGAGTAAAATTACTTCAGCTGGTGTCATTTTCTCTGGTGTCAGTTTTTCCTAACTGTTGGTAACTAAAGTAGGGAGGTTTCTAAAGTTAGCCCTGGTTTGAGCAGGAGGTTGGACCAGAGACCTCAGGGCTTCTGTTCTAATGTATTCTGTAACACTACTATTGACAATTACTCCCCAAATGCCTTTGTAGATGTTAGGGGTAGATTTCCTGTCACCTGTATTAGAGAGGTCAGTATCTGAAATAGTCATCTAGGCTTTCTTTATAGTCATCAGACATTCAGTCAGAGGCAATGGAGTTCTGGACGTTACTAGCTTAATGGAGATGTTTCCTGTGTTGCCTGTTGACTTTTAAACTCCTTTTAATAAGAAGTCAAACTTAAGAACGTGGTGCTAATTAGTGAAATTTGAAAGCTTAATCTTGTATGTGCATGAAGGTCATAAAATAGAACCCGTCCTGCTGTCATTCCAAATCTGTGTTAAATGAGGAAAAAAAAATATATATATTTAACTCCTGAAGATAGATATATATATATTTAACTCCTGAAGAGACTAGACATGGGATGGGGTGTCCAAGAGAGCTCAAGAATTCTGCTTCACATGCTGTCATTAGCCTCCAGTTAAATAATCACCTATTTGGTAGAAAAACAAGGTGCAGAAGATCTAAGTTTGGAATATAGGGCTAACGTTGAATGGCCTTTATCTTCTACGTAAGTAGAACCCATCATTCTTTATTATTTGTCTCTTTTTTATAATGCTCCATTGGTCATATTAAAAACATCAGAAAAGAATGGTATTTTGATCCCTGGGAATGTCTCCTGTTGTTGATCCTTTGTAGCCGAGTTGACCAGCTGAAGTATGATGTTCAGCATCTGCAGACAGCTCTGAGGAACTTTCAACATCGCCGTTACATCCGGGAGCAGCAGGAGCGACAGCGAGAAGAGTTGCTTGCACGTACATTCACTACTAATGTAAATATTCTTTATGTTAGATCTCTGTGTTCTAGAAGCCGTGGTCTTTCAGAGAAGTTTCAGGCAGTAGGCTTGCCTCTGTTTGATTGCTGCTGGGAGATGTAAATGGAGTAAAGGTAGACTCATAGAATCACAGCATGGTTTGGGGTGGAAGGGACCTCAAAGACCATCTCGTTCCACCCCCCTGCCATGGGCAGGGACACCTCCCACCAGACCAGGTCGCTCCCAGCCCCATCCAGCCTGGCCTTGAGCACTGCCAGGGAGGGGGCAGCCACAGCTGCTCTGGGCAACCTGTGCCAGGGCCTCACCGCCCTCACAGGGAAGAATTTCTTCCTTGTATCTAGAAAAGAATAAAAGTATGTTTTGAAAAAGGACAACTTTCTCATAAGGACAAGTTGGGCAATTAAGAGGCAGCAGTAAAAGCCTTCAGAAACTGCTGCTCGTGTTTAATCCGGTGCGGTTCTACCTGACTTTATTTAGCAGTTTCAAAAGGGTGAGTGAGGTAGGTACCAAAGTGTACATTTGACTTGGGTTTGTGTCAAATGTCTTTGTCAAGTCCTGAGATTTGTAAAATGTCTGGCTTTTATACACCATACTGTCAGTAGGTGTCAGCAAGCTTTAATTTGTCCAAGCATAAATCACACAGCTGGGGAAAAACCCCTTTTCACCTATAAATGATTCAAAAGTTTTTAATAACAGGAATGTGTCTCCATCTGTTCTTGTTAATTCTTAGTTCCTCCACTGGGAGGTCTTCCCAGTGCAAATTCCTAGAGGAATCTTGCTCTGAATAATGTAGGTTTGCTTTCAGATTTCACTTCTCTGTAACTCAAAAGCTATGTCTTGTTTTATGGGTGGGTTTTTTTTTGGGGGGGGTGTGTTTTGATTTTTGTTTGTTTGTTTGTTTTTTGTTGTTAAAGGCATGTAACCTAACATCCATTACCTGTGTTGTCACTCACTGTTAGGGCAAGGAAGAACGAATGTGAGTGGTCCTCTTTTCTTGAGATTTGGGAAGTTGGATGCATTTCTCAAAGCCTGACATAAAGATGACACCTAGCATTTTGTTGGCTATTTTGAGATTATAAAAAGGACTTCAAAGGAACACTGAAATTTGAAACCAGATTTGTTTTCAACACACTGTGGTGTTCCTCTGCAAATATGGAGAAGTTTTCCTGTAGGAAAACTTGTCCAGAAATAAAACATGGGTGTAAGTGGAACAGTTTTGAGAGCAGCAGCAGGATTGCAAATGCAAAATAAATGGCAAATTGGGGGGTTTTTTCTCCTTTAGATGTTGAATGATGAAAAAACCACCATGATTATTTTGTATTTCTTTTAATTCGTTACAAAAAGGTGAATTTTAAAGTAGAATGACCCTTTAATAGGAAAATGATGATTTATCTGTCAGGTATTGGCCTGTTTATACTGTTTCTAGTCATACACTACCCTGTTAAATAGAAATGTCAGCGGAGCATGTGAGCATCCTGAATAAATCACTGTAATGTACATAGCAGCTTTTGAAGGCTGTAGCAGTGTTCTGAATGTTTTGCTTAATTCGAAGAGAAATACCATCTTTACCTTTAAAGCCTTCCCTTTCACCATTCTGGAGAAGAGCACTTAGAGCAAATGAAAGATAGGATGTCACCTGGTCTCCCTGTGAGGAGGGTCAAAAATCTACTTTGATATTTTTCTTGTTGCCTTGTGGTGTATAAAAAAACCCTACAAGCTCCTCGTGTAGGAAATGGAATCCTTGCTGATTTGAAGTTTAATGAATATCTGCAATAGTAGCCATTCAGGTGCAAATCCAAGTCCTTCTGCTGTGCAGGCTTGTGTAAGACAAGACACTTGTTTCAGCCTTAGTGCTGCATTAACATTTGATCCAAGAGATGTCTATGCTGTCACGGCTTCTTCATCCAGGAGCTTTGACCCTGCAGCTGCTACAGCTCTGTCCCTCCTTCTTCATGCTTTTACAGTAAGCAGAACACCCACCCGGGCAGTACTGGATCGTACGTGTCATTCCCATGTTAACACTGTTTTTTACAATAACCCCCAGAGTCTACTCAGAGCAAGTTTGCTATTGTTATGTGCGTGTGACCTACAGCTGACAGTCAGATGTAGGGAATTAGCCATCTTCTGCCCCAAATACAAATTCCACATTTCGGTAGTTCTTGTTCTCAGTACCTGGAAGCAGGTAAGCCAGTGTTCCCACACTTACCAGTATCACGATTCCTGTTTGTAAAACAGTGTTGGAACAATGAGCTGTTACCTTGACTCTCTCGATGGAATGGGGTCCAGAGAAGATTAAACTGGAGGCCTTTGAAAGATGGAAGTGATCACATCTGCTGACCTCTTGTGCAATTCAGATTACAGAATTTTATCCAGTTATTTCCATTTCAAGATTCATAGTTTCTACTTGAGCTAATGCATCTTTTCTGGAAAAACATGATTTTAATTTTTTTTAAGGTAAGGCCTTGGGTGTTGGTTGAGTGAGCCAGACCTTCAGGGAATGAGGTTCATGTCTGTTTGCCCTCGGTACCAGAAACTTGCACCATGTTGTAAATTTATAGAATGTCATCTCCCAGACATTGTGTCTTGCAGGCCTTTTATCGCTGAGAAATCGGATATTAAACTTTTCAGAAGTCTTTCATTTGCAATGATCAAATGACTCCTTGTTAAACACCTTCTGTTAGTTTTGATGTTCTCTCTTGTAATACCCTTTCCTACATGTATCATAACCTGAGACTATAAAAAATTCTCCACTTTTAATCTGGCTTTTTATCCTTCGCGATCTAATTGCAGTTGAAGAACTGATCGGCTTTGCCTTTTGGCTTGCTTCCTGTAGGCTTCTCTAAATTACTTTTTTTACTCAAATATTAATGTTGTATTTAATATCCTCATGAAAAAATGTTTAAAACGTAATCCTTCAAGTCCTGTCACGTTTTTTGCTGCGTTTATTTCTGCATGTTCTTTTTCTGGCTCTAACTGTGTACGGGCAGTATGAATGAGCAGGCGAGGTAACCAACACCCTGCGTTTCCCCTACAGGACTCTGACACCACCATACCGATCGACGAAACTTTACAGTTTAATGAATCCCTCCAGAATGCCCATCGTGGCATGGATGATCTTATTGGCAGTGGGACCAACATCCTTCAGGGGCTGAGGGACCAGAGAGTGACATTAAAGGTGGGGGCATCATTTTTTACCAAAAAGACCCCACGTTTTTCTGTGTTTATGATGACCAGGCTGAGTAAAATCGATACATGAGTTTGTTTCAGTACACTGCTTCAAGCTGAGAATGCTGGGAAAGGCCCAAACTCCATTTTAACTAAACCTGAAATCTTACATTTTATCATCTTCTTAGGAACATCTTTAAGCTCTTTTTGTGGCTGGATGGCCTTGCAGTCTTCACCTGCACGGTAGTTGGTATCTGGAGTGCTGAATGTTATGTTTTGTTCCCTTGTGGGGTTTTTGTTTGGTTGTTTGGTTGGGTTTTTTTTCTTAAAGTGTTAAAGTAGCGGCTAGGTCAAGACAGGTGTTGATTCTGATTCAGATGAACATTATGCAGAGCAACCTCAAAGCTGGTGTAAAGTACTTGTGTTTAGGATTAGTAATAAAGATAATACTCTCACAGGTCTAATGCACGTCAACAACATATCCTTCCCTGAATACTGTTAATGACAGCTGTATTTCTTCATGTCTTAATCACAAATATTTTAAAGACTGTTCATAGTGATGTTAAGTTTTGAGCAAATAGCTCAAAGATACAAAAAGCTTTTTAATAGGTGTGTGTTGGGGGGAAAGCTGGATTTCTGAAAAATTTGGGTAAATACCTGTCTCTGTTATATTCATCTTCTGATGGAGATAAATATTGTTGTCTAATTTGTGATACTGCTTTGTTTTGGGATCTATCTGCCAGAGGATTTAGGCATTTTTATTTGCTAACATAAATCCCTGCATTTGGTCCGATGAATCGCCCCTTAAGCCCCTTGGATCGCAGACTAGGGTTTCCCTGGCTATAAAGGCAGTCGAGCCAGCTTACCCAGAGAGAGCTGAACTGTGCACACGTGAGGGTCTCGCCCTTACAGCGCATGGGGATTTTGCTGGAGCAGCTTCTAGTACCTGTGGTACCCATTGCCTAGGAGTTACCAGAGCTGGGTGTCCTCCCGAGGCAGAGTCCCTGGTGCTTATTTTAATCCTAGTGTCCGTTGCAGTTCATGAGCCAGGTACTTCCTGCCCGGATCACAGAGGTCCAGGCTACCTGGTGTGCCCAGAGCACTGGCTGGGACCACTGCAGGGAATAGTGGCAGAGGACGCTTGTCCTCTGTGCTTAGCTTTGGCGGCTGATGGCATTGGCTCGGGGCATCCAGCTGTTGAAGTGCACGAGTGTACCTGTGCTTTGCACAGAGAATTTGAGTTGCTGACTCCACCAGATAGTAAGTCACCGATTCAAGGTGATCTCTGATGAGCGACTGAAGCACTTGGTTTCTGGAGGGTTCCTGAGAAGGATGCGCATACGTCACGAGTCAGGAGAACGTAACCACAGTTGGCAAATACAATAAAGGAACACTTGTGGGACCTGCTGCCTCAGAGACTGAGAGGAAATACTATTTCCTCGTGTAGATCATAGTCCTGTCTCGCTTCTTTTGCTAGTTACGTTGTAGTAACGTGCCTGGATTCCTGTTAGATCATGGTGGGCCTTCTGCAAATGTAAGCATGCCTTGTCTGAGCTGCCAGTTCTGGCAAGTCAAGCATACTTCAGGTCAGAACTGTAACAGCGAAGTTGTCAGTAGCTAATAGTAAAGCTGCCCACTGCTGTTGATAGTCTGTTCTTTTGGGAGCATTGTGTTCTTAGGAAACATCCGTTCATATTCCTTTTCCCCTTAGCTCAGCTTTTCTTACACTATCAAAGACTTCACCCATTTACAAATGTGGCAGAAGCAGCATAGAGACCAGTTACAAGGATAAATGGGTTAATTTGGAAGCAAGTTATTCCATGTAACTTCTTGGGTATTGGATATAAATAGAAAGGCGTGAACTACGTGTTCCCAAATTGTCACAAGGCTTTAGCTGTTCTAGTTGTACAATTCCACTGTTCCACAGACTGCAAGAATTGAAGTCTTCGCTTTCCTATTGTTTGCTTTCATTTTAAAGCTCCGTATTTGGTTTCTTTGCTCTGAGCAAGGTTTTCTTTTGTTCTACAGTAGTGTGAAAAGATTGCTGCAGAGACGGGAAAAGTGCTGAACTTGAAAGCTTGGTATCCAGGGCTTTAGTGTGAGGTGTATGAAATGAGGTGAAAAATGTGTTTATGTTTTACTAACAGAGACACAACCTGATTTCAGCAAAAGGCCTTCTACATAAGAAACTGTTTCCCTAATTTGGTATTGTAAAATGTGTATTTTATGGATTGAGAAGCTATGCATGTATGTCTAATGTTCTTGGTGTGAAGTCTGTCCTCAGAGAGCTTTTCTGATCTTAAGTCAGGTTTATATTCAAAAGAATTCTCAAATTTCACCCTTTTATTTTTCTGAGACCAAAGGTACAGTGAACTGTAGGAACAGGGGCTAGAGTTTTTAATTTAAAGCATGGCAGTAGAGCATTGTCATGGGAATCTGCTATTGACCTTGCTCAGAGAAGAAACACCCTGAAGCAGGGTGTTCTGTTAAGGACTTGGACCCAGAAGTCATTTTGAGAGACCAGGTCCACTGTCCTTACCATGGTGTGACCAGGCTGCTTCCTAGCAGGGCCCGTCTTCGGGCACTCGTAGGTGCGACGGAGGCTGGTCCTGGCCCGTGTCTGTCTGACGGCCTGTGGTGAGCTGAGCTGCCTGCCCATCCCCTGGGACCCATTTGTCCAGCTTATCTAGAAGGGTCCTTCTCCCCTCCCTGTACCACTGTGACTCTGTAGCCCCGAGTTCTGTCCCTTCTTCCCAGACGGGACGATATCCAGCTCTGACCTGTGCCCAGAGTCCATCTACGTGCCTGTATTTCACACAGTTCCCTTTGACCGTTGCCCTGAAATAAAGCAGGAGGGTTCCTGCTGCAAGTGACTCCCCCAGCTCATTTCCTGGTACCTCCAGTCCTGCAGCTCACGGTGGTTCTCTGTCGTGTCCTCGCTGCTGGTGTGGTAACTGGGATCCACGTTCTTAGTAATACCAACCAGCTTCACAAAACTGGGGTGTGGGCTTGCCTGCAGTACCCCTGCTAGCAGTCTGCTCAGCGCTTTTCTCCGGAAGGATTGCTTGGAATTGCATTAATTACACTTTCATATGCCTTTTGATTGCACTCTACCATTAGCCTTACAAGTTTCTGGACCTCCTTTTCAATCTCTTGTTGATATGAACCGCACTTCATCAGGATAGTTCTGCAAGAAAGGTTTGTCTGATAAGAAGCTTCAAGCTCTTACTAGACTGTGTGTTTGAAAAAGGACCAGAAAAACTTAATGCCTCCACAAGGAGTGCATTTTCTCCGAGCCACTCTTTATGATGTCTCTGTCTGGACAGATTGTTTAGTATCTTTAACCACAGTCTTTATCAGTTCATGTGTGTGAAGTAATTCATCTCATCATCCACTATGTCCAGGGTCCTGTGGCCATCTCCTCTGAAATTGTAGGAACTGTTGGCTGACAGCAAGTTCCTTTGATCAGAATTCATCGCTTGCCACCCATGATGAAATATTCTTGGACTGTGGAATAAGGAGTGTTGGACCATGAGGTTAATTGTTTCTTTGCTGTCTTTTTTATTCTCAGGGTACTCACAAGAAGATCCTGGATGTTGCCAATATGTTGGGCTTATCCAATACGGTAATGCGGCTGATTGAGAAGCGAGCCTTTCAAGATAAATACTTCATGATTGGGGGAATGATTTTGACTTGTGTAATTATGTTTCTCGTCGTGCAGTATCTCACATGAGCTACTGAACTGTCGCCAGAGGAGATTGTCTTTTGGAGCAAGATGGACTGTCCTCTAGACTGTACTTTCCTCTGAGCGCTGCTTTGGATGAGCCCCTCCTGTGAACTTCAGAGTTTACAAATCACGCTCAGACACATGTCAAAATAGGGAAACTAATTTCTCTGGGGACGCTGTAGTTGAGAATGGCCCTATAAAAATAACCCCAGCCTTTACTGCGCTCACCTTACTGTCTGTGAGTTTAAGAATCTGGTTAAATAGGAAGCAGAAGAGAAAATTTTGCCCAGCTGTATTGCAAGGTAGGAGTGTCCTTTTGTGCAGGGAAGGACAAGAGGATGCAAATGCAGAGCATGAGAGGTAGCTCATGCCAGCTCTTCCCTGTGCTAGCTCCAGGTGACCCTGATCACTGTATTTTGCAATGAAAGAATGCCACTCAGAGAATTTCGCGTTGTTTGTGGGCACGCTTCTGCGGTGTAAGAGGAGGAGGGAAGCGAAGGGTTCCCATCTGCAAACTCACCATTTTGCTTGGAGGGAGAAGGGTTTGTGGGGAAGGGTCTAAAAGCACCGTTACAACCTCAGCTTTTTTGTTTACGCATACAGTATTAACCAGCACGAATCTTCCCATTTTAGGCTGAAATACTTCTCATCTGAGGTATGTTTTGGTACCTTTTTATGCCCCGCTGCTTCCCAGTGGAAGCTGAATGCTGTACTCCTGCCTGCTTTCAGTCAGCTGCACATCAGGCCTGTGTCATCTCACTGTGCCTAGTGCCAAATCCAGCCTCTGAACACTGTAAGACACTTAATGCTGGTGCACGTCACGTTTTGGTGAGTTGTATTCATGTTCTGAGGCGGTTGGTTGGGGTTTTGTGCTCTGTAGCTGATGTTTCTGGAATCGATGAAACAGGCAAGTCCTCGCTGTGCTCAGATTCAGCTTTGTGATGTTTATGTTCTTGGAGTTGGAGTGGGCTGTCTGCTGCTCGTCACATTCAGAGTCACCGTGGGATCAGGGCAACCGACCTTTCACTTAAAAGCAGTTGTCAGAAGAGTTACGTGCCTTGGGAAGGTAAACGTCCCTCATCCTTGGGAAGGGTGTTCTTGGCGTTAGCCTTTGTACAAAATTACCGTGAAGGACCTTCTCGCACATCCCCACGTACCGTCTCACAGGGGTGATAGCCAGCTTGGGCGTACCTCCTTGGTTGCAGGTGTCTGTCCACATTTAAACATTCATGGTTAGGGTATGCCCCCTTGTTTAAATACGGCGCTCCTTTCCCTGCAGATGGGGGGACTCTGTTAGAAGGGCCACCCTGCGATTTTGGGCATCATCCATTTCAGTCAGCCTTCAGATACATTCCCGTCTCGGTTTGTGTACAAGTCTGGAGCATTTCCAGATGTCTGACAGTGGCACAGAAGTGTCATACTCAAATGATGTGGCATAATGCAGGCAATTCATTTTTTTTTTTTAATCTGGAATGGTTGTGGGTCTTTTAATTAGTAATAGATTACAAGTTCTGCATTTGTCTTTGCTGCAATAAGCTTTGCTTTTATTACATAGCCTGTTAGAAACTTGCAGAAATGGTATTAATAACTGTGAGGAATGGAGGTCAGTTAATACGGGCAAGTGACACGGGCTTTAGCCAGCCTGTTCACTGGTGCAGAACTAAAGTGCCATCACTTAAAGCCCAGGGGAGAGCACTCAGTTCGATCAGCTGTCACAGGCCAGTCAGCCTTGTACGTGGAACCCAGTGCAAGAGGAGAGCCAGACACCGGAGGGGAGGCCGAGGTGCTGTCAGTGCCTATAGTCCTATCGGGTGGTTTAGCAGAAGCGGGAAAGCCTCGGCGCCTGTGCCCCGGCCTGGGGGGCGCACCCGCCCCTTCTGTGCTTCTCGGTGTGTTTGGCGCTTCTGAAGCGTTTCGTGCTCTTGTGTTCAGCCTGCTCGGCCTTCCCAAGGCAACCCGTGAGCAGACCACGTACAGAATCTGTTTTCATTTGAGCCTGAGGGACTAGGGAGTTAAAAGGAAAAGAGGAAGTCTGCAGTGACAGATCACCTGTCTTGCTGTGTCTGTAATCTAAAGCCTAAATCGAAATTTACTTTATTTTAAATATGAAATCTGATGGAGTAGCATACTATGCACTTACGAGATCATCTTCTATGAGATCAGTTGGGCACCTTGTAAGGGGTCCCTGGCAAATCTTTTTCTGTTCCAATAAATCGGTCCAATTCGACCTTGATTTTACAGCTCTGTGGTTTGGTGTTTAAAGGACGTCATTTGACCGTGTTTGAAGTTTATATAGTTGTGACGCGGTGTAGCAGGATTTGTCTTGTACCAAGGCGGGACTCCAGCCAACATGTTTCCTTTTTTGGCTTGTGGCAGGAGCCATCAAATAATTGGAACTGGATTTTTCTTCTGTTTTTGAGACTAGCTTGGATTTTAATACATGTTTCTCTGTTCATGTACTTTGCCCTTTTAGAGTCTCCTTGTCCTCGTGTAGAAAAAAATTTGTAAGCAAAGTGTCCTTGCGATTCACTGTGTTTAAAGGCGAGACGTGGGGCTTGAAGGAACCACTGAGGTAACTGGATTTGATGACCTGCAATTTCAAACCAATCTGTCCAGCATGTTAAGTCCAAAGTGATTTACAGGAGCATCTCTGCTATCTCGGATGGTTGGTGTAAAACCCTCCAGCCTCTGTCATTACAGTGTGCCACAGCGGGAGCGCAGGTAGGGTCAGGATCTCTGCTAACATGAAGTGAGACAGAGCCGAAACCCCGGTGGCTTTACACATGTTGCTGCTCTCTGTAAAGTTCCCTGTCTTACTAAAGGCTACACTTCCTTCAACAGAGCTGTTTTGCTTCTGAACTTCTGTGGCACAGCAAGCGTTCCCACTGTTGGGCAAACTGCTCTCTCACAAGAGGACACTGTGGAAATTAACTTGCCTCTTGAAAAAACCTTTTTACCAGTATTTTATACATGAAGGGGCAAGGGTGGGACATGATGTGATTCATGTGATGTGTTATGTGAATAAAGATTTTTCAACCAAAATGAAGTTTTTTACCTTGACTAACACATAAGGTGCCCAAATGCTTGAACAAGCTGGACAAATTCCAGTATCGTAAGCATCAAGGCAGGTAGGGCAGAAGGTGCCTTGGCCAAGCAGGGAACCCCTGCCAGAGCTCAGATGCGAACAGCAAGTTCACAGAAGGTGGAAGCAGGGGTCAGCTACCCCGGAGGAAGGGACAGGTGTCACTCAAGGGTCAAAACCACAGCTCAGCTGGCACTGAAGCTAGTGAGGGACGGGAAGGACTTCTAGAAATGTGTTGGTGGTGGCCAGAGGAACCAAAGCCATCAGCCAAAGCGAAGGGGCCACTACAGGGGCAGCGAGGTGAGTCCTCCTGCAGCCTCCTGCTGTTTGCTCGCACAGTGCTGGGGCAGGTGCCCCACCTGAGGGGGAAGCAGTGCCCTGGGGAGGGGACTGGCTCTTCGGGCTTCTGTCAAGTGGGGGAGTGCGGAGCCAGATGGAAACACGCAGGGAGGCATAACCCCGGAAAGTCCTGCGGATGGAGGGAGAAAGTGTGCAATGAGGTGAAAGGAGATGGGAAACGTGGGGTGGGTTTTCTTCCCAGTTCACTGAGGATGGATGGAGAGAGGAGGAGGGTTCTGGGGAGGAGAAGGCACCAGCAGGGAGAGGTTGCAGGGAGGCTGTGGAGTAGTCTGGTCTGGTAAGAAGCGAGTCTCCTGCTGCGCTGTGGGGCTGGAAGGTGTGGGACTGGGTGCTGGCTCCAGACCAGGCGCTCCCAGTGCTGGCTCTCACTGGTGAGATGGGTGGTGACATGGCAGGCTCGTGTGGGAGTGGTGGTGGCTCAGGATGGGGGGGAGAAATGGCAGTAGTGGTCTCTTGGCTGAGTGGTGGAACAGGAGTGTGGGAGCTGGGTGCAGGTGGCAGCTATGCTGTGGGGAAGATAACTCAGGAGCTCAGTGTGCTCTGCCCGCTCCATCTTTGGCCCCGGAGAGGGGCCAGACCTTCGCCTCTCCTGCCCTCTCCCTGCTAATGCTGCAGGTGGTGGGGGCTGACATCCCGGTGTCCTGCTCAACCTTCCTTCTAGGTTCTGACGAAGGATAGCAAAGGAAGAGCTTAGAGGGCAAAACGTGGCTTTTGATAAAGAGATTGTGGATTTAAAATGTGAGATCAAGGGGCTGGATTATCTTTCTCTTGTAATTACATTTTGTTTTGCAGTAATTCATGTTCCCCACAGCTACAAAACACTTACTACATCAGAAAATATCCAGCCAAGAATGCAAAAAGTTAAAAAGTCATCCAGTGCTGTAGGTATAAACTAGATACATAGATCAGACCAGCCTTTGGCAGCCTGCTGAGATGGGTCTTCACAGTTTATCTTCTAGGGTGGTCCCCTGAAGGACTTCAACAGGATAAGCAGCAGCTCAAGCTTAGAAATAGTATTGTTGCTTCAGCAGCGTGCTTTAAGGTGTGACTATGTGCAGAAGAAATCTAGGAGGGTATGAAACAGAGAGGGAGAAGTTTTAAAAGAAAGAGACTTTATTTTAAAAAATAGTATTTTAGCAGTTAAAAGCAGAGTTGTTTAATGTATATGCAGATTGGAGGGGGAGATAATGAATAATAAGACATTATGACTGGGTGGAGTAGAATTAATTTAGAAGGAAGATAGTACAGATAAATACTAGAGGATGTTTGTACTTGTCTAGTAATCAAAGCTTAATATGTGTGCCTATATATGTATACCAAATGTTAACCCTATAATGCATGATTACAACTGATAGGTGTTAAAAATCAACACCTCCTTTAGAGTAAAACAGAAACAATGAGGACGCTACCCAGGACTACAGTAACAATATCGAATGCCTCAACTGCAGAAGAAAAAAATTCATGAGCTATAGCACAATCCAAAGGTGATGGCATCATGTTTTCACGCCAACAGTGTAAATGTAGAAACTTTAATCGTTGCTCTGCAGGGGGTGCTCCTGCCTCACTCTGTTTTATCTTGCCCGCAGCCTTTGGATGCTGAAGCCCTTCCCTGCACACCCCTGCCAGCCTCTCAGCCCAGCTCCAGCTCTCCCTGCAAGCACCAGCTGCTGCGGTCCTGGGTGGATGCTTGGCAGCAATCTGCCCTCCTCCTCCCCAGGCAATCATTTGGCTCTTGTTGTACCACTCTTGGGTATCTTTGTACCTTGATTTAGGGAGGTGAAAAGCTAAAAGCAAAGGGGTGGTGGGTGGAATAAAACAGTGACCAGGTGCCAGAGAAGAACAGCAACATTCTGGAAATGGGCAGAAACGATAACCCAGCTAGACTTCAGATGGTATCAGACTTGCAAAATACAGGGCAGGTATGTTGTCAGAGACATCAGTTGGGCTGGATATAGTCAATGGGTGCTGCTGCCGCCCTTGGCCATCATGGTATCACCGGAGTAAGGCAGATGCTGGCTTGGTGCATCCCCTCCTTATGGGCAGGGAGGAGGGCACGGCCAGGCTGGCCAGTGGCAGCTGGGAAGAGCCCTACAGAAATCCTCAGGGACTTTGCAGAGCCAGGGATCCCACCTGGTTTGGTGCCAGGGCTCTGGGATGAGTGTTCAAGTGCCTGTCTGCCTCTGGAGCCCAAATGGCAGGGGCTAGCTGGGAGCAATCGGCACGGCTGCCCATGCAGCAGGAGATACCTGCGATCCCAGTGGCTCACGGCAGCACTCCCAGGACACGGACATCACAGCAGCAAGGATGAGACACGACAGCCATGATCCTTCCCACGGTGACCTGTGCACTCCAGGGAACAGGAACAGCCGCCACGAGGCACCCAGACATCGGCAGGGGTGGGGACGACTGGGAACGCTGCGTGGGACGCTTTCCTGGACACTGGATCGGAGGTGAATGGGCTGTTTCAATCTGCTTGCCCTGGAACATGTACGTCAGACCTGCATAAGGAGACACCTTGTCTGCACCATTTGGCTAACACTTCAAACGAGAAACGCTCAGGTCTGCAGCTGTGTGTGCAGCTCAGGCAGCCACTGCTTTGATTTCCAGCCTGTGGCTGAGCGAGCGCTTGTAAATGACCTCCAAGATGAAACCATGGTTTTGGTTTTATGAGTTATAACCTGGACTAAAAGCCAGGGAAGGGGAAATGACTTCTTAAATGTGGTTTGGCTGTGAAGTTGAGATCTGCAGCCAGAGCCTGATCTGCCAG